AATAATAATAATAATAATAATAATAATAATAAAGAGGAGGAAACATCAATATTACAATCTATAGGCGAGACACTCGTTCATGCCTTTTTCACTCCCATCAATGGATCAACATAGTATTCGGACAGGCAGCAAGATTATGCGAAAATCTATCTATACTTACCTTCAAACCTATCATTACAACACCTTAACATCAGCCCTCCTTGCCTTCCCTTTCTCGGCCTCAACTCTCTTCGCACAGCTGCTTCTTGTTTCCCCCTCGTCGTCTCTCCTTGCAATCATACAATCTCATAATAAGTTTATCGACCATGCTGCAGGATTCCCTTACTCCTGGGAGTTGATCGACCTTGTCAATCTCAAGCTCTCTCAAACAATCTCCTTTTTCATTCTCACGCTTCCCCTGAACTCTACTCTCTTCCTCATCGCCAAAGCATCTGTTATTCAAGTCGTCAATCGCCACAAACCACCTTCTTTCTGTTGTATTTTCTCCATTTTCAACCCTCTCCTCCTCACCTATGTAAGCAATTCATTATTGATCCTCTCGGCCAATGCAACAGCCTTTTGTCTCTTATCCATTGCTTTCAATCCTTTTCATGATCATATTGGGTTTGGCTCTCTCTTCCTCTCAGCTGCTGGAGCTGTTGTTTACTCCATCATCCTTGCAAATGTGATCATAATATGCAACTTGGCGTTGGTCATATCAGGAATGGAAAGATTCGGCGGATATCTGGCCATCCTAAAAGCTTGTGTTATGATTAGGGGAAGGGCTTCAACGGCGCTATCACTTACACTTGCTGTCAATACAGCCTTGGCAGGAGTTGAAGCATTATTCCAATACCGAATTGTGAGAGCTTATGATGACATCGGTGAAACACCAAGCTCTTTGCTGATAATTTCAGAGGGGATGCTTATCGTCTACTTGTATTCTATTCTTGTTGTTCTGGACACCATTATCAGTTGCATCTTCTTCAAAAGCTGCAAGGCGACCTCCTCGTTCATTGATCAACAAGGTAAATACGCTTACAGGATTATTGTTATTGAAGGGGAAGAAGATGGAGCTTTAATGAGCTTAAAGGCCTAGCAACAACTTCCATCGTTATATATATATATATCCTGTTCTTTTGTCACAAGGCTAATGCAAAAGAAAGATTCACAAGGATTAATTGTTTCAGTGAAACCAGGGTACACTTGAAGCCATTTATTAAAAAAAAAAGATATCACTTGAAGCCATTACAAAAACACAAAGATATCATGAAAATATACAAGCAATTGTGCATGTATTCAGTAGCTTTCTTCAGTAATTCACAGATTTGAGTTCCAATAACTTCAGTTTATTTAATTATTTTTATATAAGAGAGAAGGACTGCTCTCGTTATATAGCTTAAGGCCCAACATACCTCCCCAATGAATAAAAAAAATATATCATAAAAATCAAAATGATGCCATTTGTTATTTAGGCATCGACACTACCCCTTTAGCACTTGGCATGTCGTTCGGGGAGAGAAGGTAAGTGTTAAACTATGGTTGGAGTTGACCGAATGGGGGCTGCCTGCTATGGTATAGAGGTGGTGATTTCATCCCATCACTATCCTACATCATGCAATTCGTTTGGATTGGATTTTTACCCTCTTTGACCAGGCTCAAAGCCAATCAGGCCTGAGGGTCGGTGAATGGTGCACTCACTACATCATCAAACCTGATATTTCACAATTGTTATTATATATATATATATATAATATATATAGATATCACAAACCTTAAGTTGACAAGTGGAGGCAACCCTACAAGCATAAGAGATACTAAATGAGTCTGATTATTTTTTTATATATATAAATACTCAAACATTGTTAATGGTTTTTTAATAAAAAATAAATTACTCGTGACTCAAAATATAATGCATATTAGATGACACAGTTTTAAAATATAAATATGCTGACATGTTGGATAGTTATTTTTTTATATATATTAAAATGATGACATGTTAAATTGAGATAACCTCATGAAAAACAAATAAAAAAATTATAAAGTGTAGTTTCCAACCAACTAAACATTAAAGAATAAATTAGAAAAAAACCAATTAAAAACAAAAAAAACATAAGTCAACTCAGATTAGCTTTTTAAACCTATAATTTGGATCATGAAACCGAGATATAATATAATCCAAGCAAGATCAGATTTAGATTTTAACATAAAATCTTTTATTGCTTGTTTTACACTATCGAGCATAACTTTCAATTTGACTATTGAGTTATACTGGAATTTTTATAGGAGTTTCTAAACATGCTATTATACATTTGGCTAAGATTTAAGGTAAATGAAAGTTTGGAAATAGATTATTTCAGAGGATCTAAGTTATTAGATGAATTGTTCAAATATGTATGTTTGGACCTTCATTTATTGTTTAGACTATATTAGGAGTTATATAAGCAATCATTCTAAGATTTCAATTAGGTTGGAAAGTAGACATTTATACATTTTTAGTGATATATGTTAAGTATTCTAATTCATACAGATAAGAGAAAACGACATGTTTGAAGTCAAGACTAAAATCTACTAGGAATGTGCGAAAATTGAAGAAACATTGTTTGCTTGTGTATTATGAACTTCAGTCAATACAAGGATTCCTTAATGCTCTTGAAAGCATATATGGCAGCTATTGTCTTACCTACTCTACAAGAATTTCATGTCAAATAAGGAAACATTTATGACAACAATTAATAATCATAGTTTGCAAAGGTTCCATATCCATTATGGAATCTATATGGTGGTAAGGAGGCCTGGAATTCTTTTGTTGTTTTTTTTTTTTTAAGATTTTTTTATTCAAAATGAAGATTATGAGAGGCTATTTAAAGAAGATATTTCAGCCACTTCCCTTCCTGATTTTTTGAGAACATAATTTCGACTAAACAATAAAGGAAACTTCAACATTTAAGACAATATCTTTCAAGTAAGGAAGGAGGATTAATGGATGATACAAAGGGACACTTTTTCATTTACAAGTTTTAGATTCCACTACAAAGGATCTAATATAAGGAGATATGATTTTGAGATTATTTTGATAATTTATATTAATCTGAATATTTTTTAATGTTTATTTATTTTTTAATTGATATTAGGGATAATTATATTTTAGTTTTTTGGCTTTTATTTCTATTAGGTTTGTTTTGGCCTAAAATCAATGTTTAAACTTGTTTTAGAAAACAGGCTTGTGCTGAGCTAAGTTTCAGTTAAGGTCTATTGGTTTGCACCCTAATACATGACCATTAGGGTTATTATCTTAAGACTATATTATGTTTTGTTTTGCTAAAAATTTAGAAGCAATCTTTAGAAATTAATAAAATTCAGTTTTGCTTGAGTAAACTTTTCTTTTTTGTTGGAACAAAGAGTAAATTTGATTTATCTAGTTATAATTGATCTTGTGGCGTCATTTGCAATCATTCAATATATCTAGTTCTTAATTATAGATTAACTCTGGATTAAGGTTCAACCAAAGCTAATTATTCAATTTTCCTGGGGATGTTATCATTTTCATTATGGATTGTGTGATCACGAGGTTCACATCAACATAACTTCATAAAAAAAAAAAAAACTATGAAACTTCATTACAAACAAATTTAATATTGAAGGTTGAAATAAAAAATAAATAAATAAAACTAAACTAAATTCATGAGACTAGAATAACTCCATTTAAAGCAAATTAAAAAAAAATAAAGCTCAATTTTTAAATAACCTAATAATATAGGATAAAATTGAAAAATAAAAAATAATATTGAGTTATTGGAGGGTGAAATTAAAAAATAAAATAATTCAAAAGTGACAAAAAAATTGAGTCAATTAGGGTTAACTTATCAAATCTATGACTTAGGCCTTTAGCTTAGGATAACACCATAAAAAAAAAAAAACTCTATTTTTAACCAATCCAATATTAAAGGATGAAATCAAAAAAGAAATTAATTTGAAAAAAAAAAGAAAAAAATACAACTTCAATCAACTCACAATCTCTGTTATGAGATAAAAAAAAATTTATAGAAAGCAAATAGAAAAAATATAAAACTTCACTTTTAATAAATCTAATATTGAAGGTAGTAATCAAGATTTTTTTCAAAAAAACATGGCATATAACCTAAAAGAATAAAGGTAGTAATCAAGATTAAAAAAAAAAACATGGCATATAACCTAAAAGAATAAAATACAAAGTATAATTTTTGAAACAATTTAATACTAAAGAATTAAATTAAAAAAAAATGTTCCTATATGATAAAATTCAAAAACTAAAACTAAAAAAAATATAAAATGTTATTATAATAAATAGTAAGGATCAACCATTGTGGCATTGTTCACGAAATTTTCAATTGAAGGTGACAAATGTCACATGACATTTTTTTTTTGATTAACGTGGGTGTTCAGGCCAGCTTACGCGCACCACGACTAATCTCACGGCCCACTGAACATCCTGCAAGCCTAGTGAACAGGTAAGGCATCGCGGGGGTGACAGGCGTACTACACAGAGAGGACCCAGTAGAGACACGAAGGGAACAGCTCTCCAACCCCACTTCCACTGGAACTCGAACCGAAGTTCAAAGGAAGGAAAGCTGCCCCAACAACCACTGAGCCCTTTAATAAATGGCAAAGACGATAATGCAACCATCCAAGATGATTGATATTGCTATAGTTATACAAAGTCATTACGGGATTTAGAAGATCATTAATGAGCATTTTAGAAAATTTATTTAAACAAAGTTTTTTCATTTTTTTGTACAGTCTTTGTAAAATGATTTAAAATCATATTAATTCTTGATTATTTTTTCTTTATTTAAAATTAAAAATATTCAAAAAAGGATGGGGAAACATTGTTTCCCCCATGCTGTGTGTGTGTGTCATTGGCTTCGTGGATTGACTGTCCTTTTTGTTGGCACTTTAATAACCTAATTGAAAGCTAATTTAGCTAATATTATTAAAGAAAGGAAAAAACATTAAAAGATAGGGACTAAAGTGAAAAACATGGAGGAGATGGGTAGTGTTTTTGAAATTTTAGTAAAATATTCAATTTAGTCCCTATACTTTTTGAATTATATAAATTGAGTCGTCACAAATTTTAAAAAAATTTTAAAACTTAATTTTGATCCAAAGTATCATTTGCATTATTTTTCAGTTTCTGGTTTGCGAGAGGAGAGAGAAAGTTATTTGATTTTTAAGGTAGAGAGAAAATTACTATTAACACTAATTTTGACTATCAAAATAATCGATCTTGATGTTAATGAGTTTTATTTGGTAATGAAAGTTCTACTTAGGTGTTTTTTTACCTTCAAATTGCCTAAAAACATATCTAAGCTCGGTAAGATTTTTTGTTTCATTTTGATTTTTGGTTTTGGATGGATTTTTAGTTTTTTAAAGTCATTGATGAGTTTATCAAGGTGTATAGAGTATTTTCTAGGTATTTTTAGAGAAAAAGAGTTCTTAAAGCAAAAACAATCTCCATTAAATTTCTGACTACCATGTTATCCGAGATTTGAGGAACAAGTGATATATTATCTGCCACAATATGCAATATATCGCCTACTTATTTTTTTTCCAAATAAATAGGGATGGACACCCTTTAGTAAAGAAAAAAAAATTTAAGTCAACATGTTTTATTTTTTTTAATTTTCTTATTGAATTTTCTTGTTGGCTTTTTTAAAAAAATTATAATTTTTTTATAGATTATTATTTAATTTAGTGTATTACCTGTTTATTTTGTGAAAACAATTCCTTAGTTTGATGTATTTCTAGCCCCTTAAAATTTAAAAATAAATAAATAAATCATTTCATTATTTGTTTTTAAAGGTCTTTATTTTATTTGACTTAAACAAAAACCTTTTTATGCTATTAAAATTTTAAAAATTTAGGGCTGTTTTTTATTTTAATCTCATGCATCACCAAGGGTTGTTTGAATTGGTTGGTGTATAATTAAATAAAAATAATAATTTTATAAATAAAAAGCTATTAAATTCAATGGGGTTTATAGTCCAGTTCACGAGTTTAAAAGGTTAACTCTAATTATATTATGTCTTTTACTTTTTTAAATTGAATATTTTAATTTTAATTTT